TACACAGCTGGGGCAAGAAGCAAGAAAGGGGAAATGTTTCAAGTGGTGGCATTTCTCTTCCCAAAACACTGCTACTTGTGACAGGGCCCTGCTCTCCTGAAGATGGCTGCAGCCCTGCCTGCCCATGGGAAGGGGTGAATGACTGCCTTGTTTTGCTTTCCTGTGAGCAGCTTTTGCTTTACCTGTTAAACTGTCTTAATCTTAACCACACTTTCTCCAGCTTTTGCTTTTCCAATTCTTTCCCTCATCCCATTGTAGGGGGACTGAGAGAGCAAGTGTGGGACTTGGCTGGTGGCCAGGATTTAACAACGACAATGCTGAAAGAATCTCTTCTCTTCTCCTGCTTGTTTTCAGTAATTGCCTTGTAATGGCAAGGAACACTTCAGGAGAATCTATTGGCCATGTTAGGTTATGTCTGACCACTAGACTGATGCTCTGAAGTCTATAACTCATGGGATTCTGTGCCATAATTTTTCTTCCACTTCATTTACAATATTCCTATTTTTAGTATCAATGTGAGACAGATACAATTATACTTGAAGTTCAGCAGCATGTAATAGGTGTCTGAATTTGACTCTTGAATTATCCTAATCATCATTTTCACAATTTAACCTAATTTACACAATGCTATTTAGTTTTCAACATCCTGGACTCCAAGTCCCCGGTTTAAAATCAGGTATTTTCAAAAAAAACCCCAAACATAAATTATGAATAAATGCATTATAGTCAAGTACATGTGACATGCTATGTTTAGCAAATACAGAGTAGCATGTGAGATTATATTTTTAGCAGCTGTATTCTCCATTAATATTTTTTCTGAATGCTGAGAACAACCATCCAGAGTGAACTTGCACTCTTTATGATGTGGAAATTTGAAAAAGCTGCTATAAATTTGCGTTTTCCTTTCCCAGCTGTATTTTAACCCAATTTCTACCTGTGTTTCATCTCATTTCTATTGGGTCCTGTCCTCCAACAGCAATTTCCAGTTTCCTTGCAGCTAAGCTCCTCAACATTCCAACTGCAATCAGGTGGGGACCTGGAACCCTGATTTTTTTCTGACAAGTTCTTTCATGAGAAATAGTAGCAGTGAGTTTGAATTGTTACAGAACTATTTTGCAGATTCACTATTTTGCAACTCACAATGGTGTGGTAGAATAATGGATAAAAAATATTCTACAAAAGCAAACAGGAACTACTCAGATAGGTTTTCATCTGTTTAAATAAATAATAAATCAATTATAAAACAAAACACACCAAAAAATCTTCACCAAAATACTGATATATTCAATCAACTTTAGTTAGGCAAGCTACTGGGAGCAGAGACAACCCAGAGGAGTGGAGATGGCCCCACCAAGTCACGCTTTGCATAAGATTTACAGGTAGCACATTTTACAAGAATTTCCATTCTAAAAATATTTTTAGTTTAGAGCTTTCTGGACCCCTTTGGAGTGTAACTTTGAAGGTCTTAACTGAGTCATAACTAGAATTGTATCTAAAACGTACTCCAAGAGACTAAAATGTCACTGCTTCTTTCAAGTACAGATGTGGAAAACATCACTAGTATTATCCTCACAGAACCTCATGGCAAATTTTGACTTGCATATGTGTATCTAAGTACTGTATACTTATATCCCATTGATGTCAGTAGCATATCACAGCTGAGACCTGCTGTGCATATCTGAGAGGAAATTTTTGTAACTGAAAAGATTTCTTAGTGTCTAAAAGATAAAAAATTGTGATGAGATGTGGTCATTGTTCCCAGAGCTGTATAATTATGCTTAAATGTTCTAGTTACAGTCTTGCTGTGCATTTGCATGTGTAACTCCTGGTGATTAAAGTGAAACATGAAGAGCAGAACTAAGCTTTTGCTCTTTGGGAAGAAATATATGAAACTCTGCCCACTGAAATCACTAGGAGTGTTTTCTTTTCTTTCCTGGGTCAGGATTTTCTGCCATGTCTTGTTAAGTGCTCAATAGATTCATTTTCAGAGACTCTATTCCCTCTCCCTTTTCTCCTGGTTAGATAAGATAAAGTATTTTCAAGAAAAAAGTAAAAAGAGAACTAACCCAAATAAATGCATAACCTCGATATCCTACTTCTCCTTGGTATAAAAGGAGAAAAAGAGGGTTTATGTTCCTAATGTAGTTTTATTCTAAATCCAATGTAAATATAGAATGAAATGTAAATCCGTTGGGGTTTTGTGTGGTGAATTTTACAACATTTTTAATATTGATTCATCTATATGCTGGAAAGTGTTTTTCGTTAAAAAATCCATAAGCATTTGAGAAAGGAGTTGAGGTGATGTCTTTGTGTCTGCCAAAGTTTAAGCCCCTCTTGCATATAGCCAGGTGAAATCCAGAAGTGGGCAAAATGACGTAAACCATGTCCTTCTCTGATCTCCAAGATTTTATGACACGCTTGCCTTTATACTTGTAACTCCTTGGTTATAGTTCAATTGAGTTCTGCCTCACTGTGTCACTGACTTAAGTATTTTTCACTTTTCTAATGTCAATAGCTCTTCTGTTGAGAGGACTCAACAGGAAGTGGATGCAGGCAGTTTGAGCTCTGATGAGATCCTTTAATCCACCCCTAATCCCCCTCAATTAAAACTCCATTGATGACAGAAAAATCATTAAGTGCTGAAGAACAGGAAAATGAGTGAAAACAACACTGCATGAGAAATTAGATACACAGCTTTTAACAGGGATGTCCTGCTCTTTCCCCAGCACACCTCCTTTCTGTGCCATCCCTGGCAAGCCAAGCTCTTAACTGCTACAGCTGAGCAGGTAAAAACACACACCCCGGCTGGCAGCTTAAGTGATGCACCTCTCACTGTTCAGGGACAGTTGTGCACAGAATACCCAACCACACATCCCACTGGTGGGGAACCTGAGAGGATCTGGAGGCTTCAGTGAAAGGTCCATTCAGTGACTCTTTTCTTCTATAAACACATAGCTGCAGTAAACTGCGCATGCCTGTTCTACTGATGCACTGCTGCTTACCTGAGTATTTCTGTAAATAATTTCTTGAGACGAAGTTTGCAGATATTGAAGGAAAATGGCAGGTAAAAATATTTTTTTAAATAATTTTGTCTATAAATATAAAGTTTTAATAATATTCTTTCCTATTTTCTACTGTGAACCACAAAGGGTATTTATTGTTTGATACTTTTACAATTAGTGTGTCCATTTTTCTGTCCATTTTCTAATGAAGTGGGGGAAAAATTAAGCCAAGAAAGCAATATCTAATGTTACCTCTCCCCTTTGCACATCCCTCTCCTCTAAAACTTTCAGATGGTTTGTAGGTCATAGTGAAAGAGGAAGCATAGTAGAAGGTGTACAAAGAACTAAGGAGCAGCAGGTCTCAATGATATTTTCCACTGGGAAACCTGGGAAACATATGCTATAAATGTTGAGTACAGTTAATGTGGCTTGAAGCAACATTAAATCCATTTACCCTGCATGAGCCCCTTCTCTCCAGAGTGCACACATGGGTCATGGAGCCAAAAGCAGTACAGAAACCAGCTGGACTTCGTTAAAGGTTCTGGTGGTAGCCTGTAGGAATGTGCCCCCTAATGACAGAGTGGCAAAACTAACCTTTGTCCCCTAAAAAAGGAAAGAAGCCCAGAAGTTTCTCTCAACGATTAGGTGAAAAGCCACCTTATAGGACCTCAGGGACTTCACCGAACACTAGAGAACATCTAATTGGATAGAAGCCAAAAAGTCCCGCCTGAACCATCAGATAGAAAAGAACAGAACAAAAGAGGGGCTTTTGTGAAGTGGTTTTACCAGGAGCAGACCTCTGCACCTGGCTCGAGTTTTTCTGTTTGTTATTTTGCCTTTTATTAAACCTTTTTTGTTTCTCACACCGCAGCAGAACCCATCCTGCTTATTTTATGCCCCCAAAGCAATAGCTGAGCTATCCTTGGGTGTATTAAGTTTCTTTTGAGGGCTTATGAGAACTGGCCCGAGAAAAACACTTAATAGTAGCCAAAGGAAAGCTTTTGATAAAGGTCTTTTTGCAAGTCTATGCTGAGAATCTATAGCATCGCAGTCTTGATTTCTCATGGATTCCCAGCCTTTTTGTTCTTCCTTTCTTGGTCGGAAATTACTCTATTTGTAATCTCATAACCTCAGAGACAGCAGAAGGGTATGAGGTAATTCATAGAAACTTCAGATCCAAGCAACTGTACTCTTCTTGGGCTTATTTTGTTCCCTTGTGTGATTTTACTCTGTAAGGGAGTATGTAAACTTCCATCTTTCTTCATCACTGCTTAAAAATGGAATGGCCTGGTACTTTTCCAGGCAATCTGTGTGTACCTATAAACTGAAATGCAGCTCATAAACATTAACCATGTTGAAACAATACATTCGCTGCTTGCAATCACATTATAAACAACTTAGATGTGAGACACAATTTGTAGGCATCTGTGATGTCCCAGCACATGGAAACCCAACCTCCACACCTAAACCACAGAGAAATTATCACATATATATTTTGCCAGGCACATAAGTTTTCAACCAATATGTATATCATTCCTATGACATTGTTTTTAATAAGTATGTCTTTATGAAATATTGGTGGTATTAAAACTCTGACCACTTTAACACTCCTTTAATGCCTCCTCTATTTCCTTGGTACACACTGCTGTCTACTTCAAAGTGCAGATTTTCATAACATCTTTTCTACATGTTTAAGTGCCTCGTTCAATGCCTTGTATTCTAATTCCCATGTAGTGCCCCTAGGGATTGCAGTAAAAACAATAATTCACAGGTCCTGATCCTTCAGATACTTCTAGTACAAGTAATATCCACTAACTCTGGTAAGCATGTCCAAGAACAGGCTGATGATTTGTGCACTTGGCAAACAGAGGCTCAAGAGATTCTTTAGAGGTTTCACTTGATAAACAGGAGAATGTTGCCAGGCATGTATTCCCTGACATTTATTTTGATACAACAAAAAGCTTTTGAAAGATAGGCAATTTCCAAGTATTGAAGTACCTTGCAAGTTGCTTGTAGATCTCCCTCAGACAGCTGGGAGTCTTCCTGCTTGCACTGCAGCCACCAGAGTCAGCTGCCACTCGTCTGCTGCAGCTGGAAAATTACAGGATCTGCAAATCTTCCACATCTCCTCCAAGTTCTATTTATAGACGTTTACTAGGATATACACTAAGTGGTTCTGGTTCCATTGATAATTTTAGATGGGACTTGGCTGGTTTCTTCCACCTCTTTTTTTGAACAATTTTGATACAAGTAAACATAAGGTCAGAGTCAAGACCTTGCAGAACAATTTTATTACAATGCAAACTTGTATGTTTTAGCACTTAGTGCTGTTGCAGACTAGTCCACTAGCAGACACTCTCTGTCAGTTTATTTTTGTATAGTGAAATAAATAAAAAAAGGCACTGTTACAAGCTTTTCACAGGAGAAAATGCTACATAACTTGATTAATCTTATGAATAATACTCTTGACTGATTTATTTTCTTTAAGTCAGACAGAGAATTTAGTTACACAGTCTTCCTCAGGAGTCAGAGAACACATATGGGGAATGTGATGTTCAAATGGGTGCCTGAGGTGTCAGTTCCTTTATCAGCTCTATTGCAGATATCCTGCTTTCTATCCTCGTAGTTTTCCAATCTGTTAGATATGGTTGAAGTTCCTGATCAGTTGTATGAAGACACTGAGGTCTATAGGTAGTCAGGCTACTTTGCCCAGATAAATTATGGTCAGACTTCACCCTGCAAAAGATCCATTTGCCTGATGGCAAGAGGATATTAGTCTTGATGTGTAGAATACTCACATAGTGTACCTTTTCAATATTACAAATCTAAATATCTAAATATTCTTAAAGAGTAAGCCTAGATCTCCAAAATGAGATGTGTTCATGTATTCAACATCTGCTGTTCCTAGATACCAGGATCTGTTCACTCATTCCAGCTGTTTGACCCTGCACTCCTTTGGGAACAAAAATTACAAATGATGAAGCCACATGGGATCTTTTGTGATCACAGATAAGGACTTAAACCTCTACGCAGCACCAAGAAAAACAGAACAAGCTACAGATCCCTCCATGTCTTTTCAATATGTCCTGTGTGTGAAGTGAGGTGCTCAATATGCTGCCCCAGGGAGCAGACCAGGAGAGTCTGCAGCCCAGGAGAGACCCAGCCTGTGCCTTCCTGGCACCTAGGGGATGCCACCACTGCTGCCAGGGCCGTGTCTCAGCAAGGCAAAAGCAAGTCTGCAGCTTTTCTCTCCTTACTTCCTCACTCAATTAGCCTGCATAGAGAAAGTTTTGGCTCTAACCAGACATCATTTCCCACCAGCTATTGCAGTTGATGAAAAAGGGATTTCAAAGCACTTGATTAGGTATGCAGGCTGAGCCTCTATGTAGGCTTGTAAGACGGGATAACAGGTTGGTGTGTTTCTTCCAAGTGATTTTTTTAAGCACAATTTTGCTAAAGTCAGCATTTCTAGCCTCAGGCATTTGTGGCCAGCCCAACTAGGAAAACATCTACGCAATTCCATGACTGTGAAAAACATTAGTCAAGGGAGAAGGAAGAGGTGTGTACTTGAGAGACAGGCACTATGGCAAATCAGAAGGCTGTAGGAAGGTCAGAACAGCAGGCACCAAAAATAAAACATTAATCATAAAGTCAAAATTCAGGTCCTGTCTAGTGTCTCCATGGAAGAAAGCACCTTTTCCAGAAACAGTTGATGAGGCACATTTGACACCATTTGAGCTAAGGAAGACAGCCCAGCACTCGTTGCTGATGGGCAGCACAATGGCAGGCTACCAAGTCTCAGGTGCTTTTCTCCCTGTCACTGTAGAGGTAAGACTGGAAGTGATCTAGACAACATTTTGAGATACTACCACTCACACTCAATTAAATTAAAATGGTTTAAACTGTTCCTAAAATACATTCACTCGCTGAGAATAGAAACAGTGGGTCACTTTTGCCTATGTTTTGTTCTCATTTCATGCAAAGTTAGCACTGCAAGTTCCACAGACCCTGTTTTCAATGAGCAGTGAGGAAGCAAGACCACAGCCTCCATCTAGCACCAACATCCTAAGTGCGATGTACTACTTTATATCTGCCTTGGTTTCCAAACCTTGTTTAACTCAGGAGAAATACAGAACTGTAACACTGCTCTACTTGTATTCACTGAATTCCAGCAAAATTGGTCTTGTGAAATTTAGCTTCAGCAGAGAGCAGAAACCTTGGAGAAAGATCTTTCCCAGGTTCTTTGAGTTTAACCTTTCCTCAGGTCTACTTGATGAAATATAAATTCCACTGAAAAGGTGAAGGTTTCTAAGAACTTCTTAAATAGAAAAAAAATTTAATTGATATTATTCAAGAGGTAACTGCCAAATGTGACTTGCTAATGCAGAAACATCCAGAACAGTTTCTTAGGGACTGCTACTGAGTTTTCATGCAAATTCCTAGCTCCAAGTTTTATAGAAAAAAAAATCACTAAAAATAATTTTGCATATTGCATAGTATCATTATTTTGAAAATATTCATTTTGTTTGGACTTCAAATATCAGGGTTGAGTGACGTAAAAACAATGTACATCAAAGGGCTTTGGATACTTTCTTCATGTACTAATTTGGAAAAGCAATTTTCATATTTCTTTTTTCTTCTGGAACTCACATTCTTCTGAGAAAATGAACAGAAGTCAAAATTTTCTTTCCAGAAAAAATGTGGGGTTTTTTTTTAAGTATGCTCTTAGAAAATATTTTGGGTCTTTTCTGGAGAAATGTATTTACTATAAATAGCACTTAAATTATGTCCAGCTATTAGAAAAAAAAATTATAAACATCTTTCCAATATAAAGTCATATACAAAGACTAAAGGGAAAAAAAAATCACAAAATCATAGGTATAAAAGACAGCATTAAAACAAAACAAAAAAAAGAATAGCTGCTTTATTTGTTCTTATGGATTGTGCAACTTGGCTCTTTATGAGCTCTTGAATGACAACTTAATTTGCAAGTGGGAGAGCAAAGAGAATAATGTGATAATTTATCTCCAAATGAAGATAGAGCAGTAGCATACACAAAATGTATCAACCCCCTTCACAGACAGATTTTTTAAAGTCTCCTAGTAAAAAGTATTTTAGCATTTTTTTTAAAAACAGCTGTATACAGCTGAAATTAATTTCACTTGTGCTTTTAAAAACCTTTTACATGGGAAACTAATGCACCACTTGCTACTTGATAGGGCAGAGTATGGGTGTATTTAAGTTTGAGAGGAGAAGGGGGTGTTTTAATATGCAAGTCTAATAGTGCTATTGGGTTTTCAAGAATCAGAATTATCTAATTGCCTCCTAAAGCGCATCTAAATATAATGATATTCAGAGAGATGTTGTGTATTGTTAAACTTTTTTCAGTAATATATAACAAGAACACAATAGCTCCAGTAAATCAAACTAAAATGAGTGATTAAGTACCTGATTTAATACTGCGCATTAATTTTAGTTCAGATGGTCCTTGCTTTGTTTTATAATACAACTGCATTCAAGACTACATCATTTGCATGCTACTGGAAGGTACATTAAAAAATAATTTTAAATTATCAACAATGAAAGGGAACAATTGTTAGGATACAGTGCCCATATATCAAAGACGAGTCTTTAGTGAGCTTATCAATCCTTATTTAAGAACACGTATTTCATTGCCTTAGAATTCTTCAGTTTTTCCTAAAATCCAGTCAGGTTGCTTCCCTTCAGGTTTCTAGACTCTTAGCCATTACTGCTGCACCTGCACTGTCTTTAACCTCTCACTTAGTGAGTTTTAAATTCTCCTGCATCTATCTCAAAACTACAGGTGTACTGTATCATATCTTTCCAAAGGGTTCAGAGCCAAAAGGAGAATTTAATTCTAAGTTACTTCTTTAAAGTTCTGTAGATCCACTCATCTATCTGCAGGGTCTTCTATCTCCATTCAAGTGATTATTCCACCTCTCAGGCTTTTATCTTGGCTCCTAGTTGTCCATTGCTCCATCTGAAACCCACAAGTGGCTTTGGAAGAGAGGTAAAGAGTTCAGAGGTAAATACAGGGTGTGTAAGTTATACTGGTTATAAATAAAACAAAAATGGCCTATTAGAAAGTTAGATGATGTAAACTTTCTGAGTGTTATGGCCATGTCACCGCAGGGAGCCAGTCCTGTGCCTGTGGTCCTGCCTCCCTGTGATGCTGCTGCTGCTCATGGCTGACATGAGCAGAGTATGGCAGAAAGCGCAGCATCCATCAGGAAGAATTTCACCATTATGTTAAAGAACCTGACCTGTCTATTTTCCAAGCCATCTAAGGTCCTTTCACTGTGGATTTCTTAAGCTGCATCTAGTCTTTTCCCAGTGCTGAAAAAGGCAATAAAAGCCCCTTTTCATTCAGACAGTGGAAGGGCTCCTCCTGGAGCCTGAGTGTCCCTTCAGTGCCTCCAGGAATAACCATTCAGCTTGGTAAGAGCTGCTGCCCTCCACCTGCCACCTCAGCGTGATCCTTGAAATGCAACAGAAAGGCAAATGCATTGGGCTGTTAAGCTGAGAAAAGAAGGGCCTTGTTGATCCAGTCTGAGTGCATGGGCCACTAAGTCAGTACATATGTTCTTGTCTCCACGTGGAGGAGATAATTTAAAGTGAGTGCCAGTGGCAGCTCTGGCTACCAGCTGATTGCAGGGCAATCCATAATATGGTATAAGATGGAAACAATGGACAGTCATGGGAGGTATATAAACCCTTAAAAATTTTGTGAAGAAAGATATATAGAGATATATTGTTTGATGCTTATTAAGCTACCTAAATCTTTACTTATTAACAGTTTTATTTACAGTAGTACTGAGCAAACAGATTAGGAAAGTATTCATATTCATCACAACTCATCATCCTCTGTGTATGGTCATCCCATTCTCCATCTTCTAGGTAAAAATATTCCAAGAGCAACGTGGAAAAGAGAGCAATCCAGCATTCACAGGAACATGCCTTATCACTCTGGGGGAGAGCACTGCTTCATGCATGGATCTGTTTCTGATAAACACAAGGATATTAAGACAAAAACACTGATGACCTTGTTC